GAACTATCATTAAGTGTGTTTTTCAAGCCGGGAAAGGGGCTGCAATATAGACACCTTGTTGCACAGAACCTGATCACAGAGCTACCCGTGTGTGCAGGGAGGCAGGGGTACCCTGGTGGGTAAGATAAACCCCCCATGTAAGCCAATGGGATCACCTCGGTTTAATAACTCACCCTCACTACTCAGCGTTGACTCCCCTCGAAAGTTACCATCGATATTGACCTTACAAAACCAAAGCAAGAATCAATAACCAGAGGAGAAAGAGGAACCCTGTCTGCCCAACCTGTCATCTGCCGTCTGATAGGCACAGCCGCAGCTTCCCATCACTGACAGAGCATGTCCCGCTGCCTGCAAGAAAGCTCTGACACCAGACTGGTGAGTTATATGAGCAAGAAGCCATGAACAAAGACAGGCTCAGCTAATAAAAGAACCCTGTGATGATCTGGGAAGCTTCCCAAATGATCTCTGTCTCACCCCAACCTGCTAATGCTGGCAAAATTAACATAGGGAGAAGCAGGGCAATGCCAGAGGATTTTTTAGCTGAGAGTTCAACACTTTCATCAAATGATGACGGGGACCCCCCAGTCCCTCCTGATCTGAATTCCCTACAACGAAGCTAATGTTATGATTAAACATGAAGCATCACAGCATAGCTGTGGAAGAGGCAGGAGGAGGGTTATATATACAGGTGGGAAGTGTTTTGTGCAGCAGCCTACAGAAAGACTCATTTTATTCCCTTTGAGAAGAGACATGAATAGGAGAGAGATGACAAGCGCTATTCTCCCCACAGCCTCCCCAGCTCGGCTTCTGATCCCCAGAAGGTATATTCAGGATGGGACAGACATTGCCCTCTATTCATATTGCAGGTTGGTAAGGGATTGCTAGTACCAAAACCAAAATATGTTCAAAACTACAACCTCACAGTGAGTTTTTACACTTCCTCCCTTCTTCTCTTAACTAAAATTCAACCCCCAATAACCGGGATTAAAAGCTGGGAATACAGGCACTGTAGCACTGTTAAGGCACATACCTGTTCCTGGGTAGCGACAGGCTGCAGCAGGAGCCAGCCCCAGGGAGCATCGTTGCGCTGCAGAGACAGGAGTGAGACAGTCACAAGCCAACACGTCTGGGCAGCCCCAGAGCAGCAGCCTTGGGCAGACACAGGCTGACACACTCCTGATGAGCTGGGAGAAGACTTTGTCCTGTTCAGAGCAGCAACTGCAGCCCCTTTTTGGACCCAGCTCAGCTCACAGAGCAGTGCTTGTGGCTAGGAATCAGTTTAAGGGTAAAGGAGGTACCAGAGACAACCTTTCTCTACAATTACACCTTTTGCTTTTACTCCCAAAGCACCCTCCTGCTCATGTTCTACATGTGGATATACTGATGCTGCATCCCCTACAGCACCACTGGATGTGCACCCACCCACTCCTGCCCGCATGGAACTCAGGCTGTGCTTTCCCTTCGGTGCACACTGAGCTATTGCAGAAAGAAAATGAGAGTTTCTGTCAGGACACGGGGAATCCACACACCTACCACACACAGATACAAAACCTTTCACTACGGGTGCAGCCGAGCTGCCGCAGGATGCTGGACCGGTGATGGGAGGGCAAGCAGGGAGGTTGGGATGCTCCCACCTTTCCCAAACAGCCAGAGTTATATCCTGACATCCACTTGAGCAGTGGCAAAGGTTACCTGAAGGGCAGGAGGTGCAGGATGCTTATCCCCATCCTCTGATGAAGCTCCTCACAACCTAAAGAACAGCAAAAGATCCGGAGGCAGCCCTGACCAAATTCACACAAGCTCCTGGTTTTCAGACTTATGCAGAAACCTTCTAAATATTTCTGCTTCAGGGGGTGCAAACATGCCCTGAGAGACCCAGTGTTAGAAGCTAGTTTTACCTCACTGGATATACACAAGCTCTGAAGCAAAGTATTTTCAAGACATTTCAGCACTTGGGCCGATTTCTTCAGGGGTTCAGCCCCATACTTCAGCACCAAAGGCAAGATCCCCAGGTTAGGTGTCTAGTGCTTAGTTTTGTGCCCCTGGAAAAACAGAGGTCCTTAATATCTGCTTCTCAGGCACCTGGAAATAGGCACTTGCCTTTGTGGTGATTAAAGAAAGGAAGTGACCTCTGTATATTATTTTTATTTTCTTTCCTTTATATGGTTTTAAGGCTGCTTTTATGCGTCACTGGAAAGTTACAGCCCGTGATTTGTTGCATTCTGCTCTGCTAAGAGAAACATCCCCCCGACTGCTGCTCACTCCTAAGAGCAGGAGGATCGTAACGCAGATTGTAAATGGTTGCATTACTGAGAAAGATAACGTTCCTTTCCACTTTCATTTCCTTCCATTGATATTTATCACCGTAGGGGTTGTGTAAGCACACAAGTGAGAGATCATGCATTATTTACCAGGCTGGAAAGGGGGGAAGCTCCAGACTTTCACAGCGCAGCTGAACCCCAAGCGCTTCTCACCACTGAGATTTGTACCGTGTCTGGTGGTAGCTTGGCTGAAGGATCATTAAAGCAAACGCAATCACCCTGCCAGCCCGGGGAGCAGCAGTGGAGAGGGGCTGAGGGTTGCAGGCTCCTTCTTTACCAGCCCCCCCTGCAGTCGTGCCCCAGAGCTGGAGCAACAACGCAAGAGGGATTGGAGCTGTTGGAGCGAGTCCAGAAGGGGGCCATGGAGATGCTGCGAGGGCTGGAGCAGCTCTGCTCTGGAGTCAGGCTGAGAGAGCTGGGCTGGGTCAGCCTGGAGAAGAGAAGGCTCCTGAAGGGGAGACCTGAGAGCAGCTCCAGTGCCTAAAGGGGCTGCAGGAAACCTGGAGAGGGGCTTTGGACAAGGGCCTGTAGGGACAGGGCAAGGGGAATGGCTTTAACCTGCCAGAGGGGAGACTGAGCGGAGCTCTTAGGCAGAAGCTCTTCCCTGTGAGGGTGCTGAGGCGCTGGCACAGGTTGCAGAGACCCTCTCCAGCCCTGTGATGCCACCAGGGCCATTGGAACTGACCCATCTGCCAAACACACCAGGAAGTTGCAACACTCAAAGGTTTATTATTGTTAAGCTCCAGCCAGTGTCAGAGGCTCTGTGTTTGTACTTGCAGCATCATTGCCAGTGCACATTAAATAAAACCTTACAAAACAAGTCATTAAATGCTGAAAACCTAGGGGGAATAAAAGAAGAAAACAAGAAACATGAACAAAACTACTAAATAAGTTAATGAGGAAAAATTACCAGGAACTTTAAATGCTTTCCCAAATTAAAGAGAACAAAGGGAAAGGATCAGCTCTTCTTTTTGCAATTAAGGTATTATTTATGGCAATTTAGCTTTTTAAAGATTAAGCCTGGATACAGTGCTGCAGAAAATACATCTGATTTGTCCCTGGGCTTCTCATCCTCTCTATATCAGCTTCAGCCAGCCAAAAAGCAGGAGGTATTCTTTGCACTCCCGAGCCTGTGAGCACAAAGGGTGCTTGGAAAACACCCAGAGGATTTACCCCAGTGACTGATGCAAGTGTCCCATCTGCCTCCAGGGACACCTCCAATGCCTCAGGGGTACATCCCCATGGACTTGAGGGATGGAGGGAGGTAGAGGATGAGCACACAGCCACCAAGAGCCCTAGCAGAGCCCTTCCTTCTCCGCCTCTACCCAGTTTGACTCGGAGCCACCAAGCAAAGCACCACAGGACTGCCCAAAACCACACTTTGTGCAGGGAGAAAACGCACCCACAGCTACCGCATCCATGTGCATCTTCTGGAGTATCCCCCCCTCTTACAGAGTTGGCAATGTTTCCAGAGAAGCTGTTTATAAAAAACTTTTAGCTGAAATATGTGAAGCATTAGGACTGTCCAGACTATTTGTAGCACTCAGCCCCCCCGATGCCTTCCTGCTTTCCCTACAGGCTAATAGAAACAATAAAGTAATTAACTAAAGATGCAGAGTTTGGTTAAACTCAAACACACATCAGGGAGGAGAGTGCTGAAGATGGGATGGTCCAGCCCTGCAGCCAGCCATGTGTGCTGCTCAAAACCCCAATTTCAAAGAGACACAACAGGTAAAACACTTGTGAACTGTATTAGCTTTATGACTCTGTTGACTTTTCCAAGCCCTGTGCTGGCTGCCTGCCTCGGTGTCCTGTTCTTTGCACCCACACAGAGTAAATAGGTGTAACTGCTGTGGCTCTGCGGGCAGGGGACATGTACCTAGGACTGTTATAAGGTGCAGGCAGCGAAAGGTTCCCAAGGCACTGCGGAGAGGAGCATGTGGAAGGGTCAGCTCACTGGGGCTGAAAAAGGATGGAGGGGAACAAAGAACCAGGAAAACCTTCAAAACTTGTGAATTCAGAAGGCTCAGAGGTAAAGACATTGAGAGCACCTTCCCTGAGGACAGATGCATAAGGATGCGAACAGGGATGTGACAGCCTTCCACTGCCCGAGCACACCGGGCACACAAGGGCTTTAACTGGAGCGCCTGGAGCCTGGCAGGAGATGAGGAACACGCTGACCAAGGCCTGTAGCAGACACTTCATTTAAATCTAACTGACCAGGAGATTTCCCCTCTCCTCATTCCCATTCTCCCAGCAGGAACATTTATTACGCTAAGTGAATCGTTCAACCACCCGGGACCACCGCCTGCAATCGCTCACCCTAAGCAGCTTTAGCGGTTGCTTGGATCAGCACCCTGGGACTGCAGAAGGTGTTTTACCCTTTGCCCTGCTCGGTTCTCAAGCTCTCCTCTCTTCCTACCTCTTTTAACCCCACGGCTTCGTCCCCTGTCCCCTTTTCCAAGTGCAATGTGTTAAAATAGGAGTATGAACAGCGCTTATCTGATGCAGGGGAGTGCGAGAGCTGGCGAGCGGCCAGCAGCTAATAGCAGCATAAAAGCAATTTGATGGGGAAAGAGAATTAACATGTTAATTGTCAGGCTGGAGAGGGTGCTGGGGACCAACCAGAAGGGATGGAAATGAAGAAAAAGAGACGTTTTCTGATTACAACAAAGGTCTGAGGGAGACAGGCAGGTTTCGAGGCAATTTTCTTCCTTTTTGTCCCATTCTCTGCTGCCCTCCCCCAGCTCAAAACCTCTACCCAGAGCCTGAGGCACTCACAGGGATTTATCAGGAGATCTCTTCCTTTCGAGCATCGTGTCACTGCCAGACGCACCACGGGCTGCAGAGCGGTCGGCATCACCGTGCACAGCTCTCCCCTTCCCACAGGAGCAAGTGATGCTGCGGTGGAGACCCTGTCAGGGGAGAAAAGTGATGCTCGACAGAGCCCTGCACAGTCCCACCTCGCAGCTGGAGCCGAGGGCACAGGGGAGGTTTCCAACGCACTGACCCTCCCCTCCATCCCCAGGGAGGCTGGTTTTGGTGTTTCTTCTCTAAACAAAGGGACATTGGTTGATGGATCTTTTACATTGATTTCTCTCCAAGCGATAGAAAGGAATGCCTGGAAAGCTCAAGCAGGAAGCTTAGCTGCTTTAACCCTGCCTCCACAGCTCCCCGTTAACTGGGATTAAAGAAAGTCAACTAATGCTTCACAGCACCGGGATTTCAACAGCACGGAGCCTCCCGAGGCAGAGAGCCGCGACGGCAAATCCAGCAGGATCTCAAAGCAGCCGCTGCGTCTCCCCGCGGATGCCGTTTAACCCCGGATTTGTGAGCATCCCACTTTGGAAAATCAGCTGGAATCCCATCGCTGACTTCCCTTGATGGACGGTGAGCGCTGCCAGCCAAACCCTTGGCTCCTCACTGCCCGGCTGCCAGCACCAGGGCTGGGATAGGGAAAGTCTTTTCCCATGCACGGGGCTCCCAGCAGATTCCCGGCGCTCCCAGCCCATCCCGGCTGACCAGCAGATGATCCAGTGTGTTTCCCTAAGAGAGGTGCGCTGGGGGAACAAGGGCTAGGACACGAAGGTACCTGTATTGTTTTGTGATTCCTATTTGTGGGTGAATGCTGTAAATATGAGCCAAGAAGATTTAAAAGAGGGTCCCTGAGCCACGCGACTGAATTCATTTGCTTTTAGACAAAATGCAGCCAGTTTTCAGCCTTTTACAGGCAGGAACACAATTTCTTTCCTATGCCAAAGACTGACTGCGTTTGCTCTCCTGCTTTACTTCTACCGTGGAGGATATCGAAGCAAGAACATGTACAGTGAATTGCTAAACTCAACCAGTGCCACTGAAGCTCACCTCATTCAGACCAACACGCCCTACCTGAGCAGCACGCCGAGACCCGTGAGCTCCTCCGCTCTCTACATGTCCACAGCCCGGGTGTTAAAAGAAGGGGAAATAAATAAGCCAGACCTGGTGACTTACATCATCCTGTTTTTCTTTCTGTTCTTGACTGTGACATTCATTGTGCTCTTCATTAACTGCCAGCTGAAAAACTCTTTCTTTGCTACTCTTCCTTACGACAGATCGCTGAGAGAAGCCAAGAGCCCGTGGAGGACACAAGCTGTCTGACACTAGAGAGCAACGATGGGTTTACATCAGTAGCAGGCACCTGAGCCCCTGTGCGATAAGGCGTTATCTCCATGTGTTGCTGGATGGATGCGACCCTCTTTAAGAGGAATAGGCAGCATCGCAGGAAAAGATCGCTGAGCAATATGCTGTGTGCAAACGGGAATAGGTGTAAATAAAAAGCTCTGTTATGAACTCGATAGAATGCTTTAGCTAATTTATGCAGTTTTGTGCTACAAAATCACCCAGTGATTCCAGATTAAGCTCTATATGTATGCAAATGTCATCATCCACCCATTCAGTGTCCATACAAGGATATTTGCATTAACAACCATCTCTGATTCGGGCATCTGGTGGAGCTTGTTACCCGCGTTTATGAAACCATAGCATCAAATGTAAAACAACCACAGTATATTTACCTAACAGTTCCATGCTGAGGGTATGAGTTTACTTTCCAGACCCATTTTTCTCCACTGCTGCTGTAATGCAGTGGGAGCCCTGCCAGGCAGGAGGAGGAAAGGAAAAAATACTTATTTAGACTTTTGATTGTGATTCTGTTAAGATTGGGGGTTCTTTGGTGTTTTACTGCATCATCGATCAGGGTTGAAGTTAATAGCTTTGTGAAGCACTAAATACTTGAAGGAATTTATCTTCAACCTTCTTAAGCTACAAAGGAAATGACTTGCCAGGGCATGAAACCAAAATAATCAGGATGGGGAGAAGGAAAGAGAGAAGACAAATACCATTAACAGCATGTAAACTAAGGAAAGAGGAGAGCAGAGTTCAGTACAAAGTAGGTAACTTCTGCAAGCCATTAACAGTTTTACAGGAATAGTTGCTTTGATGCACAATACACCCCCACTCCTTGCTCTTTATATAAACCTAGCATGATTAGAAGCATGCTTTATCAATACAGTAACAGCTTGATTCAACACTGATTGCCAGAAAACCCCACTGGTTTACTTTACTAGCTATCCCACTTTGCTCTAAAAGCTTCTGCTTAACCCTGTTAGCTGAGATGCTAGTCTACAGCTGCTGGTTTCTAGCAGTCTTGCAGTTACAGGACAATTCCCACTTGTCTTTCCCCACAAACAATGAGCAAAGGGCTTTTCTTCTAAGCCCAGTGGCCCAACATGCAACCAAATTGCAGCTCTCCCGAAACCCAGGGTCCAACATCTTATTTTTGCCAGTGCATCATCCATCAGAGGAATGGGGTTCGAACTGCGGCAGCTGCTGCACCCCTAAATGTGTTCTTAACACAGAGAGTATAGCCGAGGTGCTGTGTGTATATATGTACATAACTGATTTAACCCAACTGAGATTTTACAATGCAATTACACACACACACAGACGAAGCGTGGATATACAGGAGCCTGCTTGCAAGCTTTTTTTTACACCAAAATGGCACAGTTGATAACACTTCCATGTCATTGTCTTGGTTACCGTGTTTTATTCTGCTCAAGTAAGTTCAGCTACTCAACAACAGGCTGGAGCATTTTATTCCTTGATAGGTGGCCAATTTTGGTCTCCTCTGAACCAAATTTAAGCGGTGTGATTCCAAGCAATTATTCTAATGTAGAAAGCACGAATAAATTGAAGTGTGTTTCTCTCAGCCCTCTTTGAATAAATCAAGTTTTATCAAATCAGGCATTTCTGATTTATTGTGAAGTAACGACAGCTTGTTTTCAGCCACCAGCCTTAATGAGTTTGCTCTAAGAAGTCCTTCTGGCAAAAGCCTCAGAGCCTGATCAAGCACGTGTTGCACTGCACCCTTTAATCTAAATGAAGGTCCAAGAACAACCCAGGGATAACCTGATTTTTCTCCACAGCCCGATAGCTGGGATAATAGCCCAGAGGAACCTGTCACACTTAGAGTGCTAGCTGATTTCTCGGGAAAGCTTTTGTGCATGCCCTGTGTTGCTCTTATCGATATCCAGAACCATTTCTATTGCAGAGGAAATGCTCTATTAAGGACTTTGTAACAGTTGTATGAAACACTATGTATAGAAAACAGCTGATATATGTTCTTTTACCAGAACCAAAATTAAGCTGACCATAAAATATACTTCCCAACTGCAGGCACACCAATGGGCATTCATTCACTTGCTGTAACTGGTTTTTAGGTGCATGGCACCTGCAGGGTCCCAAATGCATACTCCATCCCTTCCCTTTCTGCATGTCACACTCCTGCCCTGGCACAAATACACCATTCACTGGGGCTTTAGACCAATGCCTTCCCAAAAAAGCCTCTTGGCACCCGCAGCCCTGCAGCAGCCTCCTCCGAATGGCTTCTCTTCAAGCAGACTGGAGGTTGATGTACTAAAACATGAAGGACAAGTGAAATACCAGGACTGTGGGACACAGTGCTGTGAGAAGCAGGCTGGTCCCAGCTCGGGGCAGATCTTAATCACATGCTTTGCTTTCAAATGATGAGTAGCTCCCATAATGCTTTGGAGAGCATCCGTATACTTAAATCCACAGCCATGTGCTCTGCTGCATTAGGACCTGTGTGTTAAATAGGGTTTTAACGCTTCTCCCTCTGGGCCAGGGAAACAACTCCCTGCTTCCACCTGGAAGCAGTGAGACCTTTCATATCCATGCTACCCTTCCCAAAGGTTATTGTTACAGTTCAGTGTGCTGGCTTTAATCTCTTAGTCCATGGATGGTTTTGAACCAGCTGCCCACAGGGAGTTTGCACAGCACTGGCACTGAGTAACCAAGGAGATGCCAGTGCGACGCTCCTCTGCAAGAGCACCCCAAAATTGGAAGCTCACTCATCCCATTGCTCTGCCTGAACACTGGGTTAACATTTGGGAGACCCAGCAGGAGCCATCTTCCTTCTTGCATTTCCTACCCATAGGTGGGATTTCTAACCCCAAAGTTAAATATTTCATGCCTCTTTGGGGTGCCTCATGTTGGTAATTACCCTGGTTCTGCATGGCAAAGCAGAAAGCAAAGCTGCCCTGCATGATCATGCATCCTAAACCTGCACTGCCAGGTTTAACATACCGTATTTGCCTCTGATTTCTTACTGGAAACTTAAGGAGAATTCCTTCTATAAAGATCATCTTTTAAATATCAACCCCAAAAAATAGATCTTGCCTGGCAACATTTCTCCGCTGGGATAGATCTCCTGCCTCCACAACTCTTGAATTAAATTTTAGGCTGATTTCTTTTGTTATATACAAAATACACTGTTATACCCAAAACATATTTCAATGCTGTTAGCTGTTGTCAGTGGCTGCAACGTTGGTCTTTAACTGGACCCCTTACAACCACGTTTACCAGCAGATGAAACTGCAGCCTTAGACTTACATTCAGAAGCACAGATCAGGAAGATCAAGAGAGAACCCCAAATTGGGCTTTCCCTTGGGTTTGCACTCATCCAGAGCTCAAAAATGGTGCTCACAGATTTATTTGTAGAGCAGACTCCAGCACCCATAAGGCAGTTAATAGTATATTTAAAAAGAATTTGAGGCCAGCTGCCTGGAAATAGTAAAGCACCAAAGCACCCATCAGAAGAGTTTTATGTTTGTGTAGTCTTGTATGAAGGTTTGCTCCCTGTTTTAAAGTGATCTATACTAGTACTCCATCAGCCTAGAGACAAAAAGGCTCAGGGGAGACCTTACCCTATCCCCATGTCCCAGTATTTAAAGGGTGGCTGCAGAGAAGACGGAGACTCCCTTTTTACAAGCAGTCACATGGAAAAGTGGAGTGATGGGCAGGAGTTACACCTGGCAAGGTTCTGACTGGACATAAAGGGAATTTTTCCCAGTAAGAGCAACCAGCCATTGGAATAATCTCCCCAGGGAAGTGGTGGATTCCCCAACACTGGACACTGTTACAATTCAGCTGGACAAGGTGCTGGGACAGTCAGTATAGGTCATGTTTTGCCTAGAAAGGTTGGACCAGATGACCCTTGTATTCTATCTGACCAGTCAGAGGCTGTTTATTTGGTGTCTAGAGGTCAAGTCCTTCAACTGTGCTGGATTTTGAAGACTCCATAGGATGGTTTTAGAGGAAAATAACCCTAAATATAGAAACAGGGCAAAACCAAAAAAGCCAGACGGTGTGGTTTAGCCTATCTGCAACAACCGGCTGGCACATACTCTGACTTCTGCTGTTCCCAAGGAAGCCTGGGGACAGATGCTAAACAGCTTGTACAAGTCTCAAACCTCCGCTCTAGAGCTTGTGCAGGCTTCACTTTTCAGTCGAAGTAAGCAGCTTTCCAGCATGCACCTTTCTTCTGATTCACTAGTACATTTGCAAGTGGTTGGAGTGAGAATTCACACTCCAGAGCTAAAGACAACCATCTCTGCTGTGCTTGTATGATAAAAACACACAGGATGACAATTCTTTACTTCAAAGATTACACACAGATAGCCAAAACTAAGGCAAATGATTATTGGTGTTCAAGGTGACCAACCCAAAGTGCTAAGAAAGGCTGATCAGCACAAGTCAAGGCTAATTGAGCATTAAGATGATGCACTATCTAAACCCATTTACATTTAACTGAGTGGCTGACAATTCACAGGTACTTTGGGACCTTTTACACATGCCTCAGCACACACACCAGATGACAGCCTGCTCTGCATCCGAATTCAGAAGATTAACACTGTTTAAGATTCCAACGGAAACTAGAGCCAGTATCATCACTGAGTGTAGTCCGTTTTTTATGTTAGCAGTGTCTGGAAAACACAAGCTCCGAATCACACAGGCCCAAATACTGAATCGGGCAAGTCAAATGGGAATCAGCATTTCCCCAACGAAGCGCTTAGCTCAGGGAAGCTACTTGGAAAAGCCTTATTTAGCACACAATCCAATCACCAGTATCCTCTGACTACAGTACCTACAGCAAAAGTAACTTCCAAGTCTTCCTAAGGAATTTCTATGAAGCAGTTCATCTAAATGAGTAGGATTTCTTGGGATGGTGTCGGAGAAGGCACAGTCCTTGCCTACAGCTGGGCAGGGAGCACTCTGGGACAAGAAAGGCCGATTTCCCTCGGCACAGGGCACTTTAAATGCCAGTGATATATTTGCTTTTTACCTAGCAGTGAATAGAAGTAGCCTCTGACTCATTTCACACACAGTGAGGGTTGGATTGGGGTGAAGAGGTTTTGACCAAGCCTTTTATTTCCCCGTCTGAAAAAAAAACCCATAAATGAACAACTTCACAGGTCACTTTGACAGGCTACTCAGAGAGATGTATTTACCAATTGTTACTACACATCTAAATTCCCAGAGAGGAAGGTTAACAAAACCTCTTCAACCTATAAAAGATTTGGTTTGTTTTTTTTTTTTTTTACTTTATAGAAAGCTATTAAGAATTCCGTATGAAGTTTCTGGAAAGTCAAAAAGCTACTGCAACACTTCATTTGGATGTTACTCACAAGTTAAACTGTATCATATAGGTCGTACTGTCACGGTAGATCTGGGAGCTTTACATGGCAATCATTTTGGAAGTAAAACCATCAAAATAGTATCAGGATATATATATCTCTATATATAAAATACATTATTACCTGAGTGACGGGATCCTCCTTAGTACAGCGCAGTTGCACATTCAGAGGAAAACACCCCTATTATTGTAGAGATGAGAGAACTTCAGAGTATCACTGCACTGTGGCAGCCTGCTGGCCAGGTTAAAGCCCAAAGCAGGCAACCCACACACAAGATGAAGCACTAGGAACACTTTTATTTCAGTATTATACTGAGCAAATCATTTGTCCTTTCTGTAGCATTCACAGAATGGCTGGAATTGGAAGGGACTTTAAGAG